TCCTCTTCTTCCCCCTCTGATTCATTGACCTCGATCATCTCTGACTCCTTAGTTGCATTAGAATCTCCATGAATAAGCTCATCCCGTAGCCTGCTTACTTTTTCAAAAAGAGAGCTATTGGGTGGAGCCGTCACCATAGCTAAATTGTTAACAGTATCCAAAGGCCTGCCCGCAAATCCCATAGTATAAGAATAAATAACATTCAAGGGAACCCTCCCTTATTAATAGACATTTCATGGTCCTGTAGCTTAATCTGCATGGTTTTAGTCGGCTCGACCATCCTAACCATAGAGTGGGAGACCAGATTTAGACTAGTATTGCATGTAACAACAGCTTTGTTTTTAGTGGCCCTATTTTGAAATTCAAATATCTCCCCAAAGGTTGCTTTCTTAGGCCCTGACCCATAAGCAGATTTGGGCCCAACTTGGGCCTGATGCGGGCTGCGTTTGTTCTTATTGCCTCTGTTATATCTGGGCTCAGAATATTGTACAATGTCTTTCCTTTAATAGCCTTAAGTAATTGACTTGCATGGGACTCCTCATTCCTTATGCAATCATTCTCGCCATAATTCCCTCAGATATTATCCACCAAATCAGCATTATCCTCATCAGCAAGAATATTAAACCTGGTAGAATTCTTACCATTGCCCTTTTTGTCTTTCCTGAAAATTCTCCGACAGTTTAGCTAAACAACAAGATTTCAGGTTACAACCATCCATGGACCAAACTCCGGCTCCGGTACCTTTGCCGCCCCCTTGCATGGTTGTTGACTTGGCTACACACTCACTTCTTTCTCCTGCTCACCACCATTCTTTACTATGCAAAACTTTTCACGATGACCCGCATGTCCGCAGTGAAAGCATATCTCAGGGATGCATTCATATTCCACAGCTTGCATTCTCCCATTAATTAGGAATTTGGAAATTAGAGGGGCTTCCATATTTACAAGGATAGCAAGTCTAGTAAATTTACCTCGAAGGAGGTCTTCCGTGTTATAATTTACTTTAATAACACGGCCGACCACTTCCCCTATTGCCTTTAATACCTTCTTGTGATAAAGGTGGAGAGGAAGACTAGGTAAATGAATCCATACTACCGCTTCCTTTAACATAAAACTATGAATATTAAAGGATGGATTCCATGGCTGCACCACCAATAAGCTCCTTGCCATTGTCCATGGCCCATCAAGTATAACTCTATGGAAGTCATCTTCATACTCAAACTTAACTAGGAAATAGCCATTGTCGAGATCAAGAACATGGTGATTGTTCGATCTCCAAAGGGTTTCTATTTTGGAACAGAGGGCTTTATATCCAATTCTCCTCCCCCATAGGTGCACTACTACAGCCTTCGACCCCTTCTGAGCTAGATTCTTCTACAATAGTTCTGAGATGATCACGTCTGAGACCGAGCTCGAACGATCAATATGAATATCGTCTGAGGACATGACATAGTTAGAATCCCCGGGAGGGTCCTCTTCTTCTTCAATCTCCATTCTCTGCACAACCTTGTCTCTAAAAGAATATGAGAAAAGTTTTGGAGAAGTCGCAGGAGCGTCTTCCTGAATGCCCTGTTCTTTCTCACGGTGTTTCACCTTCTTCATGATCCTATCTTCATCCGTTAACCCCTCATTAGGGTTTTCCCTGTTAGACAGTTTTCTCTCAGACATCACTTTGAAATATTAAGGGTTCGTTTTTTGATTTTGTCTGTGATGCATTAACGGTTAATTCAGTTCATTAAACACTTTAATTTTAAATAGAAAAATAATTATTTAAATGATTTGCTAAACGGAGATTGCACCGTTCATTTCCCACCCTCTCCAGCACGAAGATATAATATACAAGTGAATTTAAATTTAAGATCAGAATCGATTGTAGATCAGTTGATTAAAGTTCTAAGAATACAATATTATAGTTGAAGTTCGAGTCATTTTGGTCTTTCATCACATTATATATCACATTATATATATATATTTAAATGATTTTGCTTAACGGAGATTGCAACCGTTCATTTTCCCCACCCTCTTCCAGCAAGAACGAAGATAATAAATATACAAGTGAATTAAATTTAAGATCAGAAATCGATTTGTAGATCAAGTATGATAAAGATTCTAAAGAATACATATTATAGTTGAAGTTCGAGTCACATTTTGAGTCTTTTCATCACATTATATATCACATTATATAATATATATATATATATATAATATATAATAATATATATAATATATAATATTATATATATATATTGATTAGCTGCATGTATTGTTATTTTTTTTTTTTTTTTGGTTTTTTTTTTTTTTTTGTAGTTTGTACTTTAGTTTTATTAGTTTGTTGATTAATATTTTGTCATTGATTTTTTTCTTTAGTGATGTTTCTGTATATCTGTAGAGATATTAGAATTGAATTGTATAATTATTTGATAGTTTTTTTTTTTTTTTTGTAGTTTGTACTTTAGTTTTATTAGTTTGTTGATTAATATTTTGTCATTGATTTTTTTCTTTAGTGATGTTTCTGTATATCTGTAGAGATATTAGAATTGAATTGTATAATTATTTGATAGCGAAGAAGTCAAAATATAGAATTCTTTCTTTTCTTTTTTTCTTTTTCTGTCTTTTGATTCTAACAATATTTATTTCGTTGCTTTTCACATTCATTTTCAATTTAAAAAAATATACAGATCATGTACTTAATGCCAAGTCTTTTGATAATGTGATATAGGAGATTTGGGTTATGATTCTTGAGGAGATGCCATTTGAAATATGGATAAAATCAAGATAAAGATTAAAATTCTTGCTTCTTGGTTATGTGAAATTCACTAAGTATAAAGTAACTTATTGCAATCAAATTTGCTTTGCAGGAAGACAATATGACACTTTGACTCTAAATAAAGGGATAATGCAAAACAGAAACCAAATTGGAGTCATTCAGCTCCTTCCTAAAATTCCTGAAACTCTAACTGAAAGTAAACCTACATCAGAATCAATGCCTCTAGCTAACACCTGCATATTAAATCACTCGAGGAAATTAGTAGCAAAATTGTGGATATCCTGTACAGATATAAAAAAACTTTCAAATGCAGAAAATTGAGTAAGCATTTCATTACTATTGAACAGTAAATTCAAGTCTCCCTTATAGGTTTGAATTGATGAAATGCAAAATACAAAGTCCAAGGAAATTAAGGAGCAAAAAGATAAATTTGAAGATATCCCCAATTCTCTTCTATTTTCCTCATCTTTCTCTTCCTTTCTAATAAACCAAACAGCTTGACTGCCGAAGGCTGTAACAGTATCTAGGAGCAAACTCAAAAATTTAAAGATATCCCCAATACTCAGAAAATGCTCAACTATTTTATCAATATATCATAAAGAAAATGAGTACAAAAATTGTCAAGTCAAATTTCCAAGCAGCAACACATAACTTGAATTGATTTCCAAGCTGACACATAAATGAAGCAAACTGCAATAGGCTAAGCGTATAAAGTAACTTATTGCAATCAAAATTTGCTTTATAGGAACACAATATGACACTGACTCTACATAAAAGGGATAATGTAAAACTGACATCAAATTGGAGTAATTCCTGAGTCTCTAATTAAAAGTAAACCTACATCAGAATCTATGCCTCTAGATAATATCTTCATATTAAATCACTTGAGGAAATTAGTAGTGAAGTTATGGATCTCCTGTTGGGATAAAGAAAAATCTCAAATGTAGCAAATTGAGTAAGCATTCACTATCCTTGAACATTAAATTCAAGTCTCCCTTATAGGTTTGAATAGTAGTGAAGTTATGGATCTCCTGTTGGGATAAAGAAAAATCTCAAATGTAGCAAATTGAGTAAGCATTCACTATCCTTGAACATTAAATTCAAGTCTCCCTTATAGGTTTGAATTCGTGAAATGCAAAACACAAAGTCCAAGGAAGTTAAGGAGGAAAAAGGTAAATATACAAGAATTCAACTTTAGCTTAACAGTGTTCAGTTTGACTTTGAAAAGGAAAAGTAACAAATGAAATTCATTACCATTATTTAAATGAAATTCATGTATAATAAAACACGACAACTTTAGGGAAACAAGGCAGTTGTTGTAATCTGCATTTTCTTGACAAAGAAGAGTTTAATATTGTCAGAAAGACCAGAGAAGGCTAGAATTATAGAGTTCAAACCAAACACCGGAACAAGACAATAGGATGCTCGTATAATTTTACAAAAAGAGACCTTTTCAAATATACATAGTAGAAATTATATTACCCGTATAGGAGAAACTCCATGAGAATTTCACAAATTTCTACTACAACCTAGAAATTCATTGTGACAAATAACCAATGGGCTCTAAACCTGCTTCTGATCAGAAAATAATTTTTCCCTTCTTGATTTGGAAGAGAAAAATAATAATAATAGAAACACTGACATTCATCCAATTTCAGCAAAACATGGTTGCAGTCTTACTCGAGCACCTGAAAAATGAATAAGAGTACGGATAATTTAAAATTCTGTGAATAACCATTGGACTTCAATTCCTAAATCAGACCCTTTGCCTTTGGAATGTGATTAAGAGCCGCTATTCCATATTCGGCTTACTTTCCTCTGAGAATTTTTACGCTTAATGCCGTTGGTTTTTACACTCACTAATAATAGTGTTTCCTTAAAAAAAAAAAAAAGGGAAGATTAGACTAATAGCTGTAGAAAGCATTATAGTAATTTTGTAAAGAAACAGAATTTCAATTAATAAATTGAGCAAATGACCAAATTCTTTATTGCGCGATAATGATAAAAGTCTATAGATGTCATCAATTCGACCCCATGCATTTATTATTTTAAATTAGTACTGAAAACAATCCTATTACAATTTGAGAAAACTGCTTTTTAATATAAAAACAAAAGTTGTTTTATAGTGCCATAATTTAGTGTTAGAAAGTCAAATTTTTAAACAGTCATAGTACCAACAACATACATTTGTGTTGGGAAATATTCTGATCAAAACACAGTAAAGAAGTGCAGCTCAAAACATCCAACCAGCCCCAGTGGACCGATGCTGCATGGAATGAACCACTTCCTGCAACACGATAACATTATCATAAATCTGGCGACCCAGGATAAAGCTGCTTTCAGTGGGGGATATAATTTCAATAAGCACCAACTTAATTCTGTTAGCATTAACCTTGGTAATCAGCTTAAACAACACATTAGAGAGGCTAATCGGGTGAAATTGACTCAAATGCTCAGGAGAATCTACTTTAGGAAGAAAGGTAACCAAAATATTGCAAATACCATCAGACAGTTCCCCTCCACCCAAGAAATCTAACACACCTGGTAACTTCCAAACCCACCACATGCCATGATTTATGGAAAAAGACTGCTTGGAAGCCATCCGGGCTTAGAGCCTTAAAAGGATTCATCGAGAAGAGAGCAACACGAACTTCATTTGTAGAGAAGGGCTGAGTTAAGAACCCGATGTCTGAACCAGACAGGGCAGGAAAACCATTCGGGATAGATGAGATACAGGACTAACCACCTTCCTCCGTATATAGGCTAGAATAGAAATCCAAGGCCATGAATCACAGTGCAATCTGGTCCCAGCACCAGTCAATTTAATCTATTTTAAGACCTCTAACTTGCTTCTTAGAACCTTCCATAACAGCACAAGAGTGGAAATAGGCTGTATTCCTATCCCCTTCAAGCAACCATTTTGCTCTTGATTTTTGAAACCAAAGCATCTCTTCTTAATCAAGAACTTCCTCTAACTCCTTTCAAAGCTTCCTTTCTAAGATAATCAACCCATTATGAGGAGACAGAGAGTTGCAACTGAATACCCTTGAGACATGCTAGTAATCTACACTTGCGATGAGCCACATGCCCAACACTTCCCGACTCCATACAGCCAACCCAGCACTTAGATTAGATAACTTATTCAAAATAGGGTCCCTTTGACTCCATTTATTACCAACAAAATCCAGAAAAGAGGATGCATTAGCCAAGCTGCGTGGAAACGAAACAAGCACGGAGCCTACGTAGATTGATCATTATCAAGGTGCAAAAGTGTTAGCCGCCTTCGTTGAAAACAAATAAAAAAAAAAAGGTTTAGCTGAATCCCACATCGGGGAGAAGAGCTGATGGAGGGTGGTGAATTGTCTATAAAAGAAAGCTAATGTTTAGGTTTCTAAACACACCAAAATACACTAAAAATACTTAAATGTGTTTTATATTAGGGATTTAGAGCAATTCTCTTGGAGTCCATTGGAGTATAAAATATTTGGGGTGTTTTGAGGGTGTCGGGTAGAAAAATATTTTGTAATTGTGTTTGTAACAATTTGCCGCATAGTGAATATTTTTCTTGATTGTCGCTTGGCAACGGTCGTGGTTTTTCTCCACTTGGGGAGTTTTTCACATTAAATTATCGTGTTATTTATTCTCTTTAATTTTTCAGTCATTATTTTATTTTCTCATTTGTTCCTGCTTGAAGTCGATCCGAAGGGCAGGGAAAATAGCGATTTTCCCAACAAGTGGTATCAGAGCCTAGTTGTTAGGCGAAGCTTTTAGTGTTAAAATAATTTCTTGTAATTATAAGTATGCACTGTGGTTGGCCTATTTGTTAGGCGGAAGCTTTTTAGGTTAAAATAATTTCTTGTAATTATAAGTATGCACTGTGGTTGCGGCTTAGTCCTGATCTTCACATCAAAAAATACTGTTGTTTAAGAAATTATTTTATTTTAAAATCCAGGTGGATTTTGGGAAGTCTGAGCGGGTGGAGCTTTGCTTTGGGTGTGCTTGAGTACCGGTGGTGAAGGTTCTGAAACGATAATTATTGAAGTTATTCTGGTAAACGAAAAGTTCCTGATAATATACTGTGCCACGGTAACTTCGTCCAGAAAGGCCGGGGTCTAGAAGGCCGGATTTTAAGTGGGACCACTTGTGACCCCTCCGTCCAACTGAGATTTTACGTGGAATGGTAATACTGTCTAGGAGATCATTGTTGTCTTTCCTGTGTATTACCGAATCGGTTTACTTCACTAATTATTAGCTTCACTGTTATAAGCACAAGTAAGCATGCCGACTATGAGATGTGAGATTGAGAAATTTGACGGGAGAATGAATTTGCACTGTTGCAAGTGCAAGTCAAAGACGTGTTGATTCAGTCTGGACTGCATAAGGTTTTGCAGGGTAAAGCAGTCAATGGAAAGAATTTAGGAAAAGACAGTAGTAGTGGAGACTCAAAAAAATCCAAGATTAGCGATGAAGAATGGGAGGAGCTGGATATCAAAGCAGCAAGTCAAATTCGCATGTGTCTAGCAAAAAATATTCTTGCTAATGTGCTTGGATTGTCCACGAATGTGCTTGGATTGTCCACGACAAGGAGTTGTGGGAGAAACTGGAAGAATTGGTACTTAGGGAAAAAATATATCCAAACAGGTTATATTTTTGAGGAGCATTTCATCAAACGTGAAAAATGACAAAAGGTATCAAAGCTGTCAGACACAAACCTGAGTGTTTCTAACGGCATCGTCTCTGAATTGGAAACTCTTGGAGTGGCAAACCGAAGATGAAATAAAGCTCTTGCGACTCATCCGTCACTATCCTTCGCCAATATGAAGCAACAATGAAACCTGTTCTGAACATATGTAGTAAGGAAGTGGTGTAATGCGGATTGTTAGTAAAGCTCATTACGAGGAGAAAAAACTGAATGAAATGAAAAATAAAATCAATTGAGGATTTCAGCTTTTATTTGTCGGTACCAGGGTACCAGGAAAAAGAAGAAAAGCTCCGGAAAGAGGAAGGTTGTCTGCTGGGGTTGTGGTCAAACTGGACACGTGAGGAAGGATTGCCCGAACAGTGAGCTTGATTCGGCTAGAAGCTCTAACGTTGTTGCTGCCAATGTGATCTCTTGTGGCGAAGGAGATGATGTGTTCTCTCTGTAATTGAGAGATGTGTATCCTCATGGCATGATTGCTACCCGTTGAGATGCCATCGAAGAGGACGGATTATTGGTAGCTGGTCCACAGAAATGCGCACGGCATTGGTTGACAGTTGATGCAAAGTGTGTGTTGGAAAAAAATATGTCGATGGCTAATAAACTCTCGAAAAAGTCAACAGGAGGGTTGCACCATAAACTATTAGCGGGATCCGACATGGCCGATGGAAAATTCTTGGAGTCAGTAAAGTGGTTCCAAGTGGCGATACTCTTTTATGGTGGAGTGTGATAATTCTTGACGATAAGAATTATCATTGTCGGTAGTAGACAATGCTGTGTCTTTGTTTTATTTTCAAGGTGGAGATTATTAGCCTCCTTTGTTAAAAAAAAAATTATATGAAAACAAATAAAAAAAAGGTTTAGCTGAATCCCCCACATCGGGGAGAAGAGCTAATGGAGGTGGTGGAATTTGTCTAATAAAAGAAAGCTAATGTTTTTAGGTTTCTAAAACACCCAAACACACCAAAAATACTTTGAATGTGTTTTTATATTAGGGATTTAGAGCAAGTCTTTGGAGTCCCTTAGAGTTAAAATATTTGGGGTGTTTTGAGGGTGTCCCGGGTAGAAAATATTTTGTAATTGTGGTTGTAACAATTTGCCGCAAATAGGAATATTTTTCTTGATTGTCGTTTAGCAAACGGCCGTGTGTTCTCCACTTGGGAGTTTTCCACTTAAATTATCGTGTTTTTATTTATTCGTTAAATTATCGTGTTATTTATTCTCTTTAATTTCTCAGTTATTATTTTATTTTCTCATTTGTTCCTGCTTGAAGCCGATACGAAGGGCGGGAAAATAACGATTTTCCCAACAAAAAGAAGGGGTCAATGATTTGAAGCCAGACGCTCTAGGTGAAAAACATGAGCCGCTTGAAATAACAAATGCCAAGACACACTACACAACACCCTATCCAGATGAGCAGCACGAAAATCCCATTCTGAATTACCCCTCCACTAGGTAAACTTCGACCCAGTAAAACCAATATCCACTAACTCCAACTGATTGACCCAATTTCTGTAAGGCAGCACACTTCGAGACTACATTATGCCCAGAACTGTTAGTTTCCTCTGGAAACATTATAGAATTGAAGTCCCCCGCAAGGACATGGAGTCACAGAAAGACGTCTAATTCTTAAGAGAGTAGAAAAGAGAAGAGCTCGGAACTGATCCATTGGACTTCCATAAATTGTAGTGAAGTCCCATACTTTATTATACAAATCAATAACCCTACGGTGAATAAACTGGGAATGCGTGTAAAAATCGAAATGGAGCCAGCCGAAGCATTCTAGAATATCCAAATTCCACCACTGAAACCCACAGATTCCACCCTTACCCAATTCTCAAAACCCAGCTGCATACAGATACCATCAGCTTTGTAACCTGAGACTTTAGGTTCTACAAGAACAATAATCACCGGTTTGAACTTCAAACAAGAATCTTTAAGAGTCCGCACACTACGCTTAAAGGCAGCTCCCTGAATATTCCATACCAAAATCGTCATAAAAAGGCCAACACAGACACAAACGGGAAACATCATAGCTTGGCAAAAGTCAAAAGACATAGCGCATATCAAAAAAAACCCAGAACCACATTTACTGAGGACCCAAGGACTCCTCAACACCTCTCTTACCTTGAAGAGACACTTGCTAATCTACTCCCAACCCCCCGTGACCTGATTTCGCCACGGATAGAACAAAGCTCCCACCATCTCCTGGGTTAATAATCTCCATATCTTAATTTACCCCTTCGATCTATAACTCCTATGCTCACCTAACCCATCACAACCAAATGATGTCCAGTGCCTGCCACCACTTTATTGGACATTTTAGAAGTAGTTTAGAAGAGGTCAAAGGAGAAGAAGAAGGGGGTAAAGAAAAAGAAGTAGAGGGGAGAGAAGTAGTATTTCGTTTGAGAATATGGGTATTGGTACAAGATTTGGATTGAGGGGAGCCCTCTAGTCTAGGAAGATCACAACTTTCTTTCAAAGTGGGCCTAAGGAAAAGAGGCAAGTCTTTGTCCTTGGATATGGGCCTAGGTACAGGAGCCTTAACCTTAGGGGTGGGCTTAACTGACTTGGGTAGGGTTTTTTCCTTAAGGGCTAGTTTCTTCATATTGGGATTTAAAGCTTTATCTTTACTGAGCATCACAAGTCTGAGGTGAGGGCTATTCTCAAGTCAAGAGGGAAGTTGGGCTGGGCTAAGAGGAATATTCGCCATTAGGGAATGGTTAGTAGGTCCAATAAGAGCATCATTAGATATTTCCACCACATCATTAAACAGCACATTAAAATGTGATCCTACTCTATCAACCAAAGCTAGAGTACGGGAGGAGATTACTCATTAGCAGAAATATTAGCTATAGAATTCTCCCCCTTGGAGACACCAACTCCGAATTTTCGGCCTGGTTTTCTGCCCTGCATCTTAGCCAGCATCCTCGGCCCAAATTTATCAGTAATCTCCATTTGAATATTCTGGATTTCTCCTAGCGGCGGTCGGCGTTAAGCTGGAAGAGGAGCAATAATGCCAGGCGATAGATTTGCCCCAGTATCCTCAGGTCTATCATTGAAATTCCCAGCCTCTGGATGTAACGACAAGTCTGTTGGGTTTGGGTTCCTTTCCTATGTGGTAAAAGCCCATATTTTGAAGTCCATTAAACTAATTATTGTTTTACAATTTTGCCCCTCAACTAACAGCCATATTAAACTAATTATTGTTTTAACAATTTGCCTCCCCTCAACTACCCGCCATATTTTATGATTATTTTTTGGCTGCTATTTGATTGATTCACAACATCCCAAAATCTGTGTGATAGAAAAAAAAAAAACAGAAAAGAAGAGGAGAGGAGAGGGATTTTTTTTTCTGCACAGCCCCATCCAGCACCAGCCATCGTGTTCTAGTTATTCCCAGAGTTCCAACCGTTGGATCTTTGTGATATTTGGGTATGTTGTTCTTTACTCTCTGTTCTTGATTCTCACCGAAAGGATTTTGATTTGGAGTTTCAGAGATTGAGTTATGGCTCTGAATCCGAAGTTGTCTTGTTTTGCTTCCAATTCTGCATAGCTTCATCTTCTTCAGCGTTTCGGTAGTCACCTTTTGTCGGATTGAGCTGATTTTTGGTGAGCATGTTCCTAACATCCAATTCTTGATTCTGGCCGATCAGTTTAATTTTTGGATGAGTAGAACATTTTTAAATGTATTTAGAAACAGTAGTTGTTGTTTTGTGTATCACTCCATTTGTGTTGTCTTACACATTTGTTTGTGGTTGTTTGGGTATGGCTACATTTTTTTGGTAGTTGTTGTGGATAGCTACATTTTGGTGGTTGTAGCTTGCCTGTAATTTGTAAGACAATATTTGTGATAAGTGGAACCTTACAATATTTGTGATAGTGAACTTTATTTCCCTGGACCGGAGGAGGTCCTGTGGTTTTTATCCTTCACACCGGAGGAGTTTTTCACGTAAAAAGATTTGTGTTTGTGTGGTGAATGTTATTTTTGATTGTGCATGATTTAGGGCAACTTGTGTTACTTGAATTTGTTACTCATTGTTACTCCTAATAGATTCATTCAAGTGGGGAAGTTTTTGTTGTGAAATTATTTTGTGTTACTCCCCATCAAAGTCCTCCTCACAGTCATTTTTACTCTACGAACAGGAATCTGCTCTATGGCCATAACTGCCACAAGAAAAACATATTAGGTGGATGCCTTTATACTCTATCCTCCTGATCCTTCGCCTCAATCGAAACTTTGAAAAAAAGGGGTTTAGAGAGATCCACCTCCACGCAAAGCCGAGCATACTTGCCTCTATTTGCTTATAAGGTGGTGTCATCAACTTGAATGAGAGTGCCAATCCTCTTCCCTAAATGTAATAAAAACGTTCTAGAATAATATTCAATTGGGAGATCTGGAATTTTAATCCAAATTAGAGCAGTGTTGACTATAGCATTTTCAGTATTAAAATTCGGTTGCCATTGGCACACGATGGGATCATGGTCAACAACCATCCAAGGACCCTCGTACAACAAATGCTCATACTCATTTTCATTGGTAAACCGGACCAAAAAGTAGCCGTTCACATGGTCTATCATGTCTATGGCCGACTTTAATCCCCACATTTGTTTCAGTCTGCACTGCAGATAATTGAACCCAATTGATCTACCCAATACTTTAATAATCAAAGTGTGCTTCCATTGTTGGCGAAATATCCTTTTTTCCATCTTGGAAATTCGAATAGTTGGACATTTCAGATCATCATCCCCATCATCCTCCAAATCTGAATCGTCCTCCGGTGATACCTCATCATCCATATCTTCCTGACCATAGTTCCGATGATCAGACAAATCCATAACAACATCCCAAAAGGAAACCTTCATTTTAGCTTTAGTTAGAGGCCCATCCTCCCCAGATATGGGGCTAGAGTCTGAGGCAGAGGAGCCGCCCATGCCATCACTCACCTTCACCTTTTTGCTACTCCGATTGAGTTGATCGAGTTCCTCAGTTGAGGCAGGCGATTCAGAGGAAATCTCCATCATACTTCATATTCTATTTTAAAAAGTGAAAACAATTAAAAATATGACTTTACTCTCTCTCTCTCTCTCCAATGTTAACGCTGCTCACCCAGTCGCTCTCTCTCTTTTTCAGTCCTCCAATCACTGCCTCTCTCTTTCTATATCTTCCCTTTTTGCATTTCCTCATCTCAAGTTTACCATCGTTTCAAGCATCAGCTGAGGCATAGCATCATAAACACCTAGATCTGAATGTTCAGTATTTTTTTTTTTTTTTTTTTTTTTTTAATGTTCAGTATTTTTTTTTTTTTTTTTTTTTTTTTTTTTTTTTTTTTTTGTTGATTTTGTAGTAAACCGTAGCAAATGGCGGTTTGGTTCGCCGATTTTTTCATAATTTTTACTAGTTTTCAGAAATTTTTGTTCAATTTTTTAATCTCTATTTTAAAGCGTCAACTCGGACAAGATCATAGTTTGGTTTCTAGTTAAATCGGTCAAATTAGCCGGTCTGGTTCTCAGAACTATGTCCTTTATATTTCATATTCATTTATAACAAACAAGAGTTTGATGAATCAAGGATACAACTGCTCACAACTACAAGTAGGGGGTGTTCATTAAAATTGCCCAAACCAATCCAAACCAACCCAAATCGATTCAAAACCGCGGTTTTAAAAGATTGATGGGTTAATTTGATTTTGTAAAATTTGAAAACCGAGCTTTTAGTTTGATTATTATGATATAAGTAAGCAATTCTTATTGTATCGGCCAAAAATCTCGCTAATTTACAGTTTGAGAGTCATAATTGTCTAAACAAAACCAAACCTTATATATATATATATATATATATATATATATATATAAATGTGTGTGTGTGTTAAATTCAAATTCAATTTTTTTAAATGAAATTGCCTTTTGTATTTTTATTAATTTTATATTGGATGGTAAATATGAGATTAGTTATATTAGATAATAATTGAACAATAATTTTTTATTAATTTAGATAAATTATAGATTATTTTTATAAAATGTTCAAATGTTTAAGTTCATTATAAATTAAATTAATATATATATACATTATTAATTAGATAAATTATAGATTATTTTATAAAATGTTCAAATGTTTAAGATTCATATAAAATTAAATTAATATATATATACAAGCTATATGCGTATAAAACTATACTTTTATAATTTTTAGTAATCAATGTAATTAAATCAAAATATAAATTCTATATTTATAGTTTGCTTAATTATTATCTTATTGAATATATAATATTTTTATAGTATAATAAGAATATAAATATGAAAAATTAATTTGAAAACTTTTAATATCTATTAAAAATCATATGTATTCTATGACATAATTTTTATTAATTAAATTTCATTAGTATAATATTAATCTATTTTTTCTTTTTTGACATTTTTAATCTATTTTTTCTTGTTAATAGATGAATGAGAAGTTTAATTTCTCTTATTTCAAACTGCACAAATCGTCAAACTAAACCAAATTAAATCAAACCGCAAACTGAACTGAATCAAACTAAAATTGCTACCAAAGGTTTACTTTGGTTTGGAACTTTTTATGGTTTGATTTGGATTTAATTTTTTTCAAATCACCACTTTAACTTTGGTAAATTATTATATTCAAATTGATCCCAAACCCACGCACGAAAAACTCCTAAATACAAGTGGGCTAACTTTACTTGTGTTGGAAAAATGACATTTTAAGATATGTAATTATGTTTTTGAAAAAATGAGCACAATCGAAACAAATACGCAGCAAACAAATGGAAGTGGAATAGAACTATGTCTTCGCAATGTACTAAATTTTAGCTTGCAGTAATAACATTAGAACAAACCTGAACCTGGGTTCCGGACTGAATTAATTATCTTCTCTGCATTTTTTCCTCAACAAATTTATCAATTTTTGAAGCTCCATCAGTTAAGTATAAAAGCACTAATCAAACAAATGAGGTCTTAAAATCCATTAATATTTAATTTTCATCATTCAACAACACGTATTTACACTCTTCTCACAGTTCCTGCTTCAAGCAAACCTTGTAGTTGACAGTTTCTGGCAGGTTATATTCTGATTCAAGAGACAATAAAGAATCACAGCTTAAAATCAAATTCAATTCTGACCCACAAACAGACACACAAAAAGAAAACCATAAACAACAAAAGCTCACTTTATAATGGTTAGATTAAATTTGGTAATAAAGAACTAAGATTATGGATTTAAATCACACCAAATTGGCAGAAAGTGAACATGTTGCTTACGTCAAAATCATAGGTGTGCCTACATAACGAATATAAGATCAGCAATTATTAGAAATAACAAGAAAGATCTCTTTTGTTTCTTAATCTTTTGCTTAAATGTCATAACACCTGTTTTGCAGTGGGAGCGAAGGGATGAAAGTCGGCTGCCAAGGAAGCGCATAGACGAAGGCTTTATCAAAAGCCTCCACTATAATATTGTCACATATAACATCTAATGTTTGCATATGCAGGTTGCACGATACAACTGTGCTTCGACCCATCATAAAGTACACAATGTCACCATTGTTGGAGTCAGAAGCGAGCAGTTTTACAGACTGCTTGCATTGAAACCAAGTAGGATTTTTCGATTGCAAGCCAAAGAAACTGATGTCATGCTCCAAACACCATTCAACTTGTTCATAATCCTTGAGATCCCATACACGAATGGATAGAACATCTTTAGTGAAATCATCTTTAATCTCCAACAATCTTAAGATTCCCTTACAAACTGCAAGAGATTTGTTAATTCTAATAGAGAATGCTCCAGGTGGTAGATCAATTAAACGAGGGGATTCACCTTCATTGAATGGATCTATACCGATCAATACATTCAAAAAACAACTAATCCAAAACAACATTCCTTTATGAGGAATGCCACTACAGTTCAATAAAGGCCATCCAAAGACTTTAGACCTACAAGTCAACAATTTTTCACTCCAATTAGCAGAATCAGAGATAAAAATCTGAACTTTAAGGTCATTGCAGAAACGGAGTTCAGCAAAATATGGAATTCTAACCACAGCATACTTAAAACTAGTACCGCAGCCTTGGAATATAAATCCATGGCGGGTTTGCTTATGAGGAGGAGGACTTGGAGGGAGTTGAGTCCATCTTCCAGTAGTTGGATTACATATAAAATAAACAGACTTGGAACCAAGCCTAGAGCAACACAATAGCAAATCTTGGCACGAGGCTACCACAGAGGCAGGCTCTGCCTCTGGCTCGCAAGGTAAGTAATCACAAGGTAGAACAGAAAGAGAAAGCGCTTGAGATCTGAAAATCCATTTTTGATAGGTCACCAAGAGTTTTTTAATTCCATTGTCGAAGTCTTCATAGGACATAAGGAGAACAGAGGTATAATTGAGTTGAAGGAAGCGATGAGCGAAATAAGGAGTAGACATTAGAGCGTACCAGTGCTTGGAAACAAGCATACAGTGCTTGGCTGATTTCAATGGAAGACGAAGCAAAATTTCTATAATTAGACAATCGGGAACATCGTTGATGGTGGTAACACGAAAACACAAAGGCAAACGCTTGCCCTTGCGAGTTATAGAGCAGGACACCGTTTCCATGGTAGAAAGAATTATTGGAATGAAGAAACTAAGTTTGAGCAGAGACCTTTTATAGATTCCAATCGCCCTCTGTCAAAGTGTAGGTCCCAGTCCTAGCTCACTGTCACACTTTTAAATTTGAATTGCAAGTACAAGTGGGTCCCGTTTCTCATAATCCTTTCCAGCCAATGTTTGCCATGTTAAGTATGAGTGAGTGCAAGAAATACAGGTCTCGGCTTCAAAGATGGCTAAAGGTTAAATTAGTGCTTCTTGTCTTGAATTGATGCATTATTTTCAATAAAATTATCACCTTTTTTTTTATTTTTGTAATTATTTTTTCTATATTTTTCTGAAAACAGTCTATATTTATATATATTTTTTCTATATTTATGTAAAAAAATTTTTTTTTTCTAAAAAGCTCTAAATTTAATTATATGATCATAAATTCTAGCACAAGAGTTTTTCTAAAAAAGCTCTTAAATTTAATTTATATTTGATTATAAATTCTAGCACAGAAGTATAATATATATATTATATATATATATATATTAATTACCAAAGTTATAATGACTAATAGTTGTCTATCTATAATATAAATTTAAAAACGTAAAAAGATTGAGTGAAACTTAATCTAATCTCATTTTGAATAAACTTTCTCAGCGTGATATCTCACCTTTCACTCTATTTTAATTTTATTTATTTAAAATTTATTCTTATATATTATTAAACGACATTATTTAGAAATTAATTATTATAGCGGACATATACTTTAAAGGAATCTTTTTTTTTTTTTTAAGACAGAAAATAAAGCATGGTTTTCAGCAAGTTTCCCTTTTTGGTAATTTCCATCTTGAAACAAAGTTATAAATGATAATAGTTGTCTATCTATAATATAAATTTAAAACGTAAAAAGATGAGTGAAACTAATCTAATCTCATTTTGAATAAACTTTCTCAGCGTGATATCTCACTTTCACTCTATTTTATTTTATTTATTTAATTTATTTCTTTATATATACTTTTAAACGACATTATTTTAGAAATTAATTATTATAGCGACATATACTTTAAAGGAATCTTTTTTTTTTTTTAAGACAGAAATAAGCATGTTTCAGCAAGTTTCCCTTTTTGGTAATTTCCATCTTGAAAAATTAGAAGACAGAATAGGTTCGATACTTATTTTTCGATTGAAAATTCAGTGTCTTTTTTTAGTGGATACTATATTATGATAAATTTATATTAGCAATATGTATATTATATTATATTAGAATATTCTGGTATCTGAGAGGAATGCTTAAATTGGCTATCAAATATCATTTCAGTAAGAAAATTACGGGCCCACAAAACCTTAAACATACACATGAAATGGGCACGTGATTGGGAAACAATTGTGGTTGAGTACCCCTATGCAAAAACGCCTTACATGTGAATAGTGGGCCAGTCTTACGCGTTCCTATTTACTACTCCCCTTATTAATTACTATTTAATTTAATATAAATAGAAAAGCCACCTTGGCATTGCCCATGGCCCACCTGCCACGTTGCATTGCTGCAGTGGAGTACACGTGGTGGACCTCAATGAATTATATATATATATATATATTCCTATTGCTGCACTTGAATTTGTCTATGAATTAATATAACATAATTTATCTATTGCTCACCTCTTTATTTTTAATTTTTTATGACTACTTTTTATTATTTAATTTGAATTTTTCACTTTTTATTGTTAATTAATGAGATAATTCTCTTTTTTTTGTTTTTGTAGTCATCAACTTTTGATATAATTATATGCCTAATTAAAAATTTTGTATGCTTAAATTAAATGAAAAAAAAAATTTGGTGTTCAGTTCAATTTTTTGCCTATTTGCTATGATTTACCTTAATTTGATTTTTGTTTAATTAACATAAAGCTAAAAGAACTAAAATAAAAGGCCTTATATGCTTGATATGCTAAACTAAAGTTTTTTTTTTTCTAATTCTTTTAGAATTTTTAATTTTTTAAGTTTATTGTGTTCTATCACAGGTTTAATAAGTATAAATAAATACTTTAATAATCAAATTGAAGAAGCTGAGATTGTCAAGAAAGAAATGTGATTAATCAAATTGAACACGTAAAAAATCTCGAAAAGTCAATAGTTATCAAATTTTAACTAAAAGAAATGGATAGGGGATAATGAAGTTAATAAACATTTATTTGAATTTCAAAAACGAATCTCAAACTTATAATTGTAGTCGGCAATATAATTTATTGTTTAATAATAATAACTATTATTTCAACCTGCGCAATGCACTTATAAGAGAATAATGAACGTGTAACAAAATGTTATTAAAGTGAACTCAGATCAACTTTATTAAATATTTAAAGATAAAGGTCATGTTCGGCAATACTAACTGGTTTAGTAGCTGTTAATGGTTTTACAAGCTGTTAGCTGTTTATATAATTGTTTAGAGTAAAAGTGTTGGATAAACATAGTTATTTGATTAGCTGTTGAATTTAAAATGATAAAAAGAGACATTTAAATATTGAGTTATAATTTTAACCTATGACTATAGTAGTGAACTCATTATAAAAAAAAATGTCAATTTATAGTGCATAGTCCAATTATATAAATCGAAATCATTATCATTTCTAAAGTGATAATACAATTTCCTCACATATTCTTCTATTAATTCATTATTAAATTATTCTGTTTAAATTTTTGTGTAAAATAATGTAATTTTTTTACTTAATTAATTGTAGACTTGATGTTAATATAAATTAATTAAGGATAATATAAGTTAATTAAAGATAAGGATAAGGACAATATAAGTTAATCAAGGACATAATTGTCATAAAAATTTTAATCAAAAAATGAAAACGCTAAACGTTTTAATAAACGCTATCTTATCCAGTAACAACTATTTATATACTATTTTACTAAATGATATAATTTACAAAAATAGTATTTTGACAAATCAAAGATAATTATATATTTGGGTTCAATTTTATCAATTTTTCTATTCTTATGTATGAATTTATTTTTTCTAATTGAATGTCTAAATGAAATTTGTTTAATTAAGTGCATATTTTTTACCGAAAGACAATTAAAAATATTTAAAATGTATTGGAATTATTTGAACCCGTATATTATAATTGTAAAAAATAAGGAAATTTTGTATCCATAGAGAATTTCTTATCAACTTACATGTGGAATGTTACTTGCCATAACAAGTTACATTGCCAAAATATGGAGCCCTTCTTCTTCATTTTTTTATACATTGCTTTTTATTTTTAATTTTAAACTCCAAATTAATTGATTTTTAATCTTTAATTAGTAATGCTAATTATATATATATGATTTGGAGCTATATTAAGCATTTACACACTAGTGGCAGGCTCTTACTTATGGGTTGTTCACCGGCAGCATACCAATTAATGGTATTGATTGTTTTTATGGTTTGATTTTTTTTTTTTTATTCGTTTTGTTATATTACATTCATTTATTCATTTTAATTCTGAGATTCAATTTAATTTTTATTATTTTAATTAATTTATGGAACTTTATTTGATTTTAAAAATAAGCTTTTAGTTGAATTTATGATAGTTTAATTTAGTTTGTGTCAATTATTTACTTGCATCATTATTTATATTATTATTATTTTATTTTTGTAATTATATTTAATATGCTAGGAGTTTATTATTTATTTGGTTATGATATATATTTATTAGATGAATGGTTAAAGGTATTGCTTATTGTAACTCTTTGTCTTAAGAGTCTCAAATTTTTGTGTTTGACTTCCAGTTATAAATTCTACCCATTTGTAAACACAAATTATCAACAGTGGCATTAGCTCAACAAGGTTGCCCCTAAATGTAATCAATCAATGATTGTAATTATCCTGAAAATTATTGTTGCTGAGAGTACTGGAATTTGAGATCGCTCACTCCTCATATAAATAAGAAGGCCAATTACTCATATAAATAAAAAGACCAATCAGATCATCAACTGATTGACTGCTATTTATGTCATTAATTGCTATTTTATTTATTGAATTATATATAGAAAAATAATAAATTGGTCACTGAATTAGAGTTGACTTAACACATGAAGACTTCAAAAACTAACTATTAAGTTCTCCACTTATGATTCCATTAACATGTTAACCCTTCTGTTCAAAATAGCTTATTTTCAATTAAAAGTAAAAATCTTTTTGATAAAAAAATAAGAGTATTAATTTGCAGAACCATTTAATGCCTTGTAAGAGAACTCCACATTTTGAACATCTCACATTTTCTAGAAATCAATAAAAATATTGAGGGCTGAGGTTTGGATGTTGAGTTGGTGGTGGGTTTAGTGAACCAATTGTAGGTAGGTGGATCTGCTTTTTATCCTTTTTAATTCAAAATTATGGCCTTAATTTTTTTTTTTTTAACATTGAGGAAATGATTCGAATCTGGATGTATTATCAATTGCATCTCCACTTACTACTAAGCTATGATGGCTTAATATGTACTTATATCCCGACCTTTAGAGTTTGTTGCACTTGCACCCTATTTTGAACTTTGCGACAACTATACTCTAAAATGAAAAAGTTAAGAGTGTTTACACTCTAAAATTAAATTAAGGGTTGATTTACAATAAAAATTACATTTTCATGGGATCTAATGAAAAATTCATTTTCTATTTATGAACAATGAGAAATATCATTATTAATATCATTGCCTTTCGATATTGCTGGTTGGTTCAAAATTATAAAGCAAAACTAATTAAACGAATCTTTTAATTTAAATAATATTAAAATATGTATATTCTAAAGATAATGGAGTGCATGAGCTGATGTTAGTTACAACATAAATTCTAAACATTCATAAATTATTCCAAATTCATTAAATCCTAAAATTATCAAATTGTTAAATTTTTTTTTTTCAAAATTTATTTTCAGCTATCATTCTCATGTACAATAAATATATAAATTAATACAAAATACTACATATGTCTATCACCATACATGAACATATATGAACTAAAATGAAAGAAATCAACATATCAATTTTGAAGCCACTGTCCAAACTCGAAGTGCTTTCTACGAATTAACTGCTTTCTATGAAAGCAAATTTTGCAATAATCAATGATGTATTCAAGTGATAGATGAGAGCTATTTTAAATTAATTTTTTTTTCCTTAATAGTGCTGTTCGAGTTTGGATTTAAGTTCTAGTTAAATTAACTCAAGTTCAGTTATGAGTCCCATGAAAATATATTTTTTATTGCAAATCAACCTTTAATTGTGGAGCATAAATACTTTCAATTTTTCATTTTAGGGTGTAATTGTTACAAAGTTCAAATTAAAGTGTAAGCGTAACAAACTTCAAAATTGAGTTATAAGTGCATATTAAGCCAAGCTAGGAATTTTTGTGCAAATTATAACTTAATTTCAATTTTAAATTTGAAAACTAAAGTTCGTCTGGAGGCCTTTATTCATTGGAGAGTTGATCTTGTCAAGTTGGGAATCTCTTAAATGCTGATTTACTTAAGGCAGCCTCACCCGAGTGAGTTCTTAATCTTGGGTTCAATGCATTAAAAAGAAATAAATAAATGAACTATGAGCGGAACTGAGGACTTGAAGATACCATCTTTGAAAGGACAAAATCTCAATATTCAGTGCATTAATGACGAAAATTGGCAAAAAAGACATGAGAATGTAACAATAGCACTATAAATATGGTAAATGTTTAAGAAAGGTATAAGATTTTCCCATTTAAGATATATAAACATGAAAATAAAACCGAAAATCATTAATATTTATTTGGACTTTTCATCATCACCAGAATCATCATCAATCCCATCAAAATTCATTCTATCTGATGCCTGTTTTGCCCACTTCACAATCTTCTCTGCTTCTCTATCAATCCTTTCTTCCTCTTTCATTGCCTTTCTTAGCATCTTCTGTTGTTCTTTCACTGAAAATGAATTCAAACTAGCTAAGAACTCATCATTCTTGCCGCTCCAAATAACGTTACAGTTTTCTTTGTTCTTTTTCTTAGAAGCCCTTTTTGGCGAACACCAAAAGCAGCCAGATTTCGGCGGAGGAGAATCAGGATCCACTGATGAATTCGACGAACCCAAAGGAGAACCAAATGAGGAAATAAAATTTTCAGCCGATGAATTGGCTTTAGATTTCTTCTCTAAACCCTTATTCCCATCTGGGCTTTTTCCCATATATGAATAAATCTCTTCCATTGTTGGAGAATTCAAAGATGATTCCTTCTCCACGAAGAATTTCTCTTCTCTATTCTGTTGGGTTTCCAAGAGAATTTGCTTTTTCTCACTTGGGTCTCTTTTGTTAGGAGAAAACATCTTAATATCATCATCTAAAACAGACCCATGAACTGTTTTGGCAAAATCAATGTTGGAATTAGAGAGAACAGTAGGTGTAGATGTTTTGGGTTTGGGGAGAGGGAAGGATTTGAGCTTTTGGAATCGGGTTTCTAAATCAGTCGGGAGAGCAGAATTAGAAAAATCAGAACAGTTGATTTTAGAAACTTGTTCAAGAACACAGAGTTCTTGAGCTTGAGTTATGAGATCGTCCACTGCTGATTCGTCTGTGTCTGAAAGGTATCCGAAATCGGCCATTTTGCGAGAGAGAGATGAAGGAGTGTCTGTATAGCAATATTGGTGAAGCGTGAAATGGAGAAGGTTTTGGAGCTCTGCTGGCACCGGTAACGGCTAGATGATGCTTTTTTGGCACTCTGTTCTTGGTGTCAATGGGCTGGGAGCCACCTTCATATTTCGTGGGACCTTATGTATGCTCTCCTATTACTATTATAGTAATGCAGCAATTTTATCATATTATTTTTTAAAATTTAAATAATATGATATGAATTTAATTTTTGTACTCTCATGCTTATTTACATTCTAAATTTCAATTTTTTTTGAAAATTATATTTTTATTAATAAATTCAGGAAAAACTTAAAATGACAATCTCGCTTCTATTATACTATTTATTATTAAAAAAGTAGAGTTCTCTCGATTTAAATAAAAAGATTTAAAGTTTTAAAATACTATATCAAAATAGATATTCTTGATTTAACTAACTATAGACTCTTATTTATGTAAAGTTAAACTATGTTTCGGTATAGGGAAAAGCTTAGTTATAAAACAAATGATGTTCGATAATCCCTCTTAAGATAGCGTCTAATGTTCTAAAATATTATTAGAGATTGAGAATGTGCTTTATAAAATATATAGCATTTCACAACAATTAATTGAATATTTTAAAATTATTTTATCTTTAACGATTAAACAAATAACTAGTTTTATCAGATATTTTTAGTTAAACCACCTTATAAATAACTAACCACTAACATCTGATAATATAAAAATAATACTGAAGAATACTCATCGCATACGAATGACAACAAGTTATATGACAATAATTGTTTTTAAAAGGCAACTTATGTGCTTTCGCCTAAAAAAACGGCTCTGCACTGTGTTGTCAACACTCAAAAGCCAAGGAAATACGGAATAGATAAAAGTTATCTAGCTTTTAGCATTTCATAGACATTAGTTTTTTTTTTAAATTTTTATAATCATACTATTATTTTTTCTCTTGAACTCAACTAATTAAATAACTAATGTCAGGTAAATTACACCAATGGTTACTTAACTTTACATTTAATTTCATAATGTCATATAACTTTAATTTGTAATTTTTTAGTCACTAAACTTTGACGATTGTTTCAACGAGAGGCCACTCACCGAAATACTATCATCGGAAAAATACTAACATGATAATAAAAATAAAAATTTTATTTTAAAAAATTCATATTTTCTCCTAATATATTAATGTGGATGCTACCTATTAATTTATTTAACAAATAATGTCATTTACATGAAACAAGTTTAAAAAAAATAAAAGAGAAAAAAATGTTCATTCTGTCATTTATATTTTGTAGTACTATTTCCTTTTCTTTTTTATATTCCTTTGTAATCATGATTTTATTTTTATGATATATGTGATTTTTAATATCATATTACTGTTCCGATTACTGGATTTCGGTAAGTAACCTCTCTTTGAAACAAAAATTAAAGTTGAGTGACTGAAGAATGACATATTAAAATTATGTGACCTAAATAAAACTAAGTGTAAAATTAGATGACCATTGTTATAATTTATCCAACTGATGTCATTTTTTGAACAGCTAATTAAACAATTATTTTTACCGAACATTTCCAATTTAAATCTCTATATAAATAGCTACAAGCTAAAAGTTAACCGCTAACAGCTAACAACTAATAGAACAACTAATAACTACCATAACAGGTAACTAAAAACTAATAAACAACTAATATTGCCAAATAGACCCTATGTCCTATGTGTTAGTGTAAGATAAGTTTCTTATGGTGTATACTTATCTTTAGCTTTTTTGTTACGTATTTGTATCTCAATCTTATCAATACTTGTGTATATATACGTATTATAGCAATATACAATATACAACTTTCCTTTGCCATTCAATCTCTTTATGGTATCAGAGCCTTCTTGACCAAAACCTAATCTATTACGTTTCTTTGAAACAGCTAATTACAACAAAATTATTTTTACCGAAAACATTTTTCCCAATTTAAAATCTCTATATAAATTAGCTACAAGCTAAAAGTAGACCAAGAGCTAACAAGCTAACAACTAATACGAAACAACTAATAACTACCAAACAGGTAACTAAAAACTAATAAACAAACTAATATTGCCAAAATAGACCCTATGTCCTATTGTTAAGTGTTAAAGATAAGTTCTTATCGGGAATATACTTATCTTTAGCTTTAATAGTTACGATATTTGAATCTCAATTCTTATCAATACTAATGGTGTATATATACGTATAAACATAGCAATATACAATTATACAACTTTTCCTTTGCCATTCAATCTCTTTATGGAATATCAGAGACTCTTCTTGGACCAAAACCAAATCTAAATTTAACGTTTCTTTTTTTTTTTTTCTTCTTTACAATTTGTGTTATTATTCATGATCGAATCGTTCCTTCCATGGAACAATAGCAGTGCCCAAATACAATCGATCGTTCCTTCCACTGGAACAATGGCAGTGCCCAATATCACTAGCCAACTTCCGATTAAGCTCACTACTACTAATTATTTGATCTGGAAGATGCAATTGGTACCAGTTCTCCATGGATACAATTTATATTCTCATGTTGATTCTACTCATACTGCTCCCACTAAATTTCTTCCTAATTCAGAAACTCCAAATCCTGCGTACTTGATCTGGTTTCGTGAGGACCAGCTTGTTTTGTCCTGGATTGTGCAATCTGTTTCTGAATCAATGATGGCTCAGCTTGTTGGTGTTACAACAGCTCTCGAGGCCTGGACAAAATTGGCGACTGCTTATTCTATTGGTTCTCGAACACATATTCGTCATCTTAAAAATGAATTGCACAGGCTTTCTCGGGGTACTGATTCTATTGAGACATATCTGCAGAAGGCTAAAGCTATTTCAAATAACTTAGCTGCTCTTGATAGTCCTGTCTTTAATGATGATTTATGTGGTGCTATTTTGGATGGTCTTGGTGGTGATTACAGACCATTTGTTCAGAATCAGGAGGCTCGAATGGAACCGGTCTCTTTTGATGACTTGCTTGGGTTGTTGTTGACTGAGGAAAAACAACTTAAACGTGATTCTCTTGATCTTGTTCAACCTGCAACTGCTTTTTATACATCCAAGCCGACTTCGCGTGGAGGAGGTCGCAGCGGATGATCTACTCGTGGTAGGGGTGGTCGTTCCATTCGGAATCATGATGGTTCCTATCATCAGTCTGCTACATCATCCATGATGTTCAGTGTTACAATTGTCAAGGTTTTGGTCACACTTCACGAACCTGCTCATCCCCAAAAAGGATTTCACCTCATCCCGCATCCAATCTTGCTGCTGCTAAACAAGGGTCTTCTCAAAAGTCTCAGCCTTGGTTGGTCGATTCTGGTGCTACACACCATCCGACGGGGAATCTCAACAATCTCAAACTTGATTCTGAGTACACTGGTCCTGAGGAGGTGGTCATTAGTAATGGTAAGACCTTACCCATTTCTCATGTTGGTCACTCTAGTCTCTCCCCATTTCTCATGTTGGTCACTCTAGTCTCTCGTCTCCTTCTCATTCTTTCTCTTTGAATAATATTCTTTTTGTGCCTAAAGCTACTAATAGTTTGTTGTCTGTTCAAGCATTCACTAAAGATAATGATGTTTCTATGGATTTCTATGGAATTCCTTTCCTACTTGTTACTATGTCAACGGATATCCGCACGAGGGTGACTCTGCTGAAAGGCCAGAATAGCTATGGCTTATATGTTTTTCCAACCTACTGCGTTTGCCCTACTGCTCGCTCTTTTCAAGCTCATGGAGTTACTCTTGCTACTTACAAAATGCACGTTTAGGAAACCACTTAAATAAGCATACTTTATTGCAAGTCTGTACGCGAATAATAAAATTTCTGTTTCTTCATTTGAAGTTTCCTATGTGTTCCTGCGTGTTGTACTAGCAAATCTCATCAAATTACGCATTTTCGGATTCTCATCTCTCTAACATTAATGCAACCATTACAATTTTAATGTTTCTGATGTTTGGGGACTTTGGGGACCTGCTCCAGTTGCTTCTTTGTCTGGGAATCGGTATTATGTTCTTTTCCATGATGCTTTTAGTAAATACACCTGGCTTTATTGTTTAAAGAGAAAATCTGATGTTTTGCCTACGTTCATAAATTTCGGTCATTAGTTGAAAATTATTTCAACACTACAATCAAACAATTTCAATGTGACTGGGGTGGGGAATATCAATCTCTAGCCAAATATCTTTCTGTCAATGGTATCTCATTGCGTGTTTCGTGTCTGTATACCCCTCAACAAAATGGGATAGCCGAAAGAAAACACCGCCATATAGTGGAAACTGGATTAGCAATGTTGCATCATGCCTTTATGCCTATTACATACTGGGATTTTGCCTTTGAAACCAGTGTTTACTTGATTAATCGAATGACTCTTGCTTCCAAAAGCACTCCTTATCAATCTCTCTTTAAATCGCCCCTATCCCTTGATAATCTTAAAGTGTTTGGTTTCTCTGTTTTCCTTATTTGCATCCATATGCGAAGCATAAACTTGATTACCGTTCTAAGCCATGTGTATTTCTTGGGTATAGTTCCGATTACCGTTCTAAGCCATGTGTATTTCTTGGGTATAGTTCCATTCACAAAGGTTATAAGTGTCTCCATGTTTCCACCAATAAAATTTTTATTTCTCGTCATGTCGTGTTTAATGAATCTATTTTCCCTTTTTCCCAGGTGTGTAGCAATTCTTCCAATTCGACCAAGGCTGAGACTTATTATCCCTATTCTGTTTGGGTTGGAAAAGGCATCTTATCTACCTCCCCATCAACACCATCTACTACAACATCTACCCCATCTGCTTCTGTTTTACATCCTTCCCAGTTTCCTGTGATTTTGGCAAATAATAGATCATCAGAATCTTCTCACGATTCTGTTCCTGTGTTTGGTTCTCCCACTGTTAGTACTTCTGTCAGTCCGCTTGCTACATTAGAACCGGTGGCAGAATCTACTTCTGTAGTTGATGTTGGTTCAGCAGATTCTCAATCGCCTGATTCTCGGTTGGCAAAATCAGATTGTTGCAGCTCCTATCACTCGAACACACTCTATGGTGACTCGGTCTCAAACTGGCTCATTGAAACCTCGGGTATTTTTATCTGTTGCTCCCTCCAACTCTTTACCATTGACGGTAAATGATGCAAAAAAATCAGAAAATTGGCGCAATGCTA